GCGGATGGGGGGCGTGGCCCCTGCAGGGTGGGGGCGTGAGTTGGTGCAGCGCGCCACGCCCTCCCAGGTGTGCCAGTCCAGGTACCGAGAGAAGTACTCGAGGGGCGACAGCGAGGCCCCCCCAGGGCGTGGCGGGGGTTCGGAAAACAGGGACTCCGGGTGTGCGGGGAATCTGGGAGAGAGCAGGAAAGGGATTGAAAAACCGCGGCGGCGGCCGTCACCGATCCCGGATCCGGACCTGGAACCGGACTAGCACTCCCAGACTCCTCGGCGGCACACGGGCTCACCTGCCCCGGGTCCACTCCTGGAGTCTCAGGACGCCGACGGGAGTCGCGGGACCGTCCCGCGCCGAGTCGCCGCGGTAGCGCCCCAGGGCGGCGGCCTCTCCGTCCGGCTCCGAGTCGGAACCCTCGGAGTCGTCGAGGTCGGAGCTCTGATCCAGGCGAGTCAGGAGCTCCTGGTGCCGGCAGTGCTGCCCGCTGTCCTGCTGGAGAACACCTGGAACACCGTTGCACAGGACTTGTAACAGAGAACAGCGCTACAGCGCCCCCCCAGTGCTACAGCGCCCCCCCAGGGCTCAGGGCACAGCGCTACAGCTCCGCCCCAGGGCTACAGCGCCCCCCCAGGGCTACAGCGCCCCCCCAGGGCTTAGGGCCCAGTGCTACAGCTCCGCCCCAGGGCTCAGGGCACAGCGCTACAGCGCCCCCCCAGGGCTCAGGACACAGCGCTACATCTCTGCCCCAGGGCTCAGGGCCCAGTGCTATAGCGCCCCCCCAGGGCCCAGGGCACAGCGCTACAGCGCCCCCCCAGGGCTCAGGGCACAGTGCTACAGCGCCACCCCAGGGCTCAGTCAGCTCCTGTTTCGAGCTCAGTGTTTCGAGCTCAGTGTTTCTCCCGCTGCACGCACCAGTGCTGGACACGTTCCCATCAGGCTCGGTGTCCACTGGCTCCGGCCTGCGCTGCTCTCTCTCACCGTCCTCTGTCACCAGACTCCCTGAGGAGGAGGAAGACACAGACATCAGCCCTGGGAGAGAGACGGGAGAGAGAGAGAGAGATGGGGCGAGGGACAGAGAGGAGAGAGAGGGACGGTGAGGACACAGAAACACAAGGTCTGATGAGCGAAGAAGAGAAAATGGAAACGAAAGGGAGCAGAGATGCAGACAGGAGTGAGGCTCACAGTGAGCTCTGTGGGCGCTCGGGGCTCCAGCATCTGGTTCTGGTGCTGCTGGGCC